TTGTGTGTAGGAAAAGAATTTACTACCAGCACAAAACATAACGGACGGGACCAAGCAAGTTAATTTTGCCCGAATTTGATCGTCATCCAATTAGATCTAACTGTTAGAATGTATTTTATGTGGCCGTACCGGTACTTTAACTGTGGCATTGATAATTTACCTGTCTCTTCTTTCTCAAATTGCTCAATAATACCAGATATTTCGCGATCTTCTGTTGCTTGTTTGACCGCAATCTCGTCCTGTTCCTTCAGAGAGCATTGACTAGCAAAGATTAGTTACTCACAAAACTAAGCACGCAAGCTCATTGTAGTACATGTAAATCGTACAAACCATAATCTTTTTTTATGATACAAGTTCAAGAATTTTTTTTTCGAATTCTCCATCCTCGTTCTCGTGCAAAAAGCCGACTAGACTATGAAAAGATGGAATATAAAAAAGGAGAAAGAACTTTTTGACCCGGGCTTTTTGATAACCTCAGCCTCAGGCTCTTCTTCACATAGACCGAAAGCTTCAGTCTCTATAATCGTCGGTTGTTCCACTGAGACTACGTCTGGCTCCACTAGACCTCCGGTTATAGAGACAGAACGACTGCCTATGCCAGCCTGTGTTGAACTTATTCCGCTAGATTTTAGCCGCTAGGCCCCTCCCACAAACTTGCCACGGCCGTATTTTTATGCCCCCAAAATCCCCCAAAATGTCATTTTACCTCGTTCATTTCCAATTTTAAATTAGGCCTAGGCTATAATACATCGGTTCCACTTACTAACTTGATTGATATAATCCGTTTAATGGTCCCTTTTAAGGAAATTATCGGTCAAAATCGACATCCATGTTGAAAATCTTGCAAGCCGTTCGCTGCCGTCAATCTCATCCCTTCTAGTCTATGCCGAAGGCAAAATTATTATGAAGGAAATACTGTGCGCCATCTACACGTTCGTAATGGCGTTATCACAGTTTTTCCTTCATAATCATTTCGCCTTCGGCGTAGACTAGAAGGGATGAGATTGACGGCAGCGAACGGCTTGCAAGATTTTCAACATGGATGTCGATTTTGACCGATAATTTCCTTAAAAGGGACCATTAAACGGATTATATCAATCAAGTTAGTAAGTGGAACCGATGTATTATAGCCTAGGCCTAATTTAAAATTGGAAATGAACGAGGTAAAATGACATTTTGGGGGATTTTGGGGGCATAACAATACGGCCGTGGCAAGTTTGTGGGAGGGGCCTAGCGGCTAAAATCTAGCGGAATAAGTTCAACACAGGCTGGCATAGGCAGTCGTTCAGTCTCTATAACCGGAGGTCTAGTGGAGCCAGACGTAGTCTCAGTGGAACAACCGACGATTAGAGAGACTGAAGCTTTCGGTCTATTCTTCACACAGCAATCTCGGCCTACCTAGGGTACTACAAAAGTAAGTCAGAGTAAATTGTCCTGACACTAAATGGTCTTTGGTGTAGTATAATTTGAGGATAGTCTGCAAAGCACAGACTCTTATTTGACACTTGAACTGCAGTTCGAGCCTATAAGGGCAGAGCCTATATATTTCAATTTCTTAATTGCTTATTATAGTCTCACATCCCCACAGGGCCCACACCCCTACCCCCTTTAAGTTTGGAGACACCTACTTGATTTCAACGCATTGGATTTATGTCACCTTTTCTATAGGCCTATTATAGCATGGGCTCAGTAATGGGGGGGGGGGGGGGCACCAGTCTTTGGTCTAATGACTAGATGGTCAACATTTGAGGGAGCAGATTGTCTAAGCCGGGAGGGAATATGATTTTGCATTTTAAAATGAAACGGGCACATACACATATACTCTATCTCTGTCTCTTTTCCATTATGTCTTCTATATTTCACTCCTACAAAAAATGTATCTGCTCATTTTGTTTCCCTTCTCTGCTGTAAGGTACATCAAGGACGCAAATCGGATCATAATAATAATTCTACATCATACTGAGTTAGTTTCTGTTTACAGGTTTAATACTCAACATTAAATCAAATCATTATTTTTTTCTTTATCAGAGGTGCATTCTCATAAAAGTATAATCTTTGAAGAGCATCTTCAAGCATTCTGTCTCTTTATATTATTTCACGTTCCTTTTCCTTTCTCTTGGGAGGGGGTCAGAACCACTTCCCAGAGTAGGAAGCATTTGCAATTCATTAGAACCACGCATTTTCTGGCACTTCCTGGAATGAATATGACGTAAAATTGCTTTCTCCTACCTCCTCCAAGAGTAGGGATCTTTTGCAATTTTAGAACTAAACCACATTTGGCGCAAGTCCACCGGCACTTCCTGGAAAAAAACGAGGCGTTCTGATTGTTAAGAAGTTAGAAAAACGTCGCGAGACGTTGTTGCTTCGTTGCTGCACAATGCAAAAAGACGGTGGTCTGGTACTTCACCAGTAGTATATATACTTGCAAAAATTATTTCGAGTTTATAAACTAAACTGTGTTGTTATCCCATTATTTTTTTTTAAAGAAATGCAATTCCTCATGCTCTCGCACCTTTCCTATATCGTTGTTTAATCTTTCATTTTTTCCTTTCTCCTTTAACTCACACATATTCTCTTTCTCCCCCCCCCCCCTTCCATCTTAATTTGTTGTTCTTCTTGTTTTGTTTTGTTTTGTTTTGTTTTGTTTTGTTTTTGTTTTTGTTTTTGTTTTTGGGGGGGGGGGGGGGGCTACACGCCTGGCAAGAGGGACCCCATATTTTGTGTGTCGTAATTCTCAAATGAAAGTTAATTTTGAGTTTGCTTCTCGCTTAGTTTGAACGAAAATAAAATGGCCTCTTCTCAAATTGGCCCAAAACATCTTTATTTTCTTGTAAATAACGATTTTTAATTATTTTTTTTTATAAAGACAACGGGTCCTTCTATATAGGGTAGAACGACAAAGAAGTTGGATTTCTTGTTAACATCATTTGCATGAATAGAAATAGATGCTTTGTGTCAATGAGATGGAAAATCTTTTCAAAATATTATTCTCAATTACAGCACATATAGACTTTGCTCAAGTATGTTTTCATTTCAGAGTTATGGTGTGACACAGTTTGGGATCTGATATATCTCAATTTCCTTCCATACATTTTCATCAATTTACACTCTGAGGGGGAAATGTTTGGTCAGAGGTCTACCAACATATTAATATGATTGCAGCTGAAATCCACTTCTTCCCGAACATATTTCCGTAACTTCCAGCCAGCATGTATCATTCATCCCTAATGTGCCAGCATTTAGAAAGTGGGTAAATGAACTGAAACCAAAGGATGTAAACAGAAATTAAATATGAAAGATGAACAAAAATAATGATTATTTATTATGCTTTTTACTTTGCAAAAACACCAGGTTCCACAAAGTGAATGTATCACAACAAACATAGATATGTCCCACATGACATCATGTTTGTTGCATAAGGATGTGAATAGTGTGAGAGTTTGCACGAGTAGAAATCCGCCCCCCTAAAATTAAATCCTGGCTACGCGCTTGGGAGGGGTGCAACTTGCCACACGCTTCTACCACTTTGGTTGCTTTGATCCATTGCCGAAAATATTTTGGCACCTATCATCCCCCCCCCAACCACGGATACAAATCGACACCCTTGAATATGCAAAGGATTATATGCCCAAGAGATCCACAACTGTGAACAAATCACAGGAAAAGATGCTCTGTCCATGAAAATTTCATGAAATTTGAAATCCAAACACAATTTCTTTATATCATTTTCACTAAAAAGATAAAGAATGAAATAAAGATATCAATATTTAGCATGTACCACGTATTATGCACACCGCAAAACTGCGTGCCTCCCTCCCTGCCCCTTTCCTGGTAAAAAAAAAAGTAATCTTCTAATAATATCATCACGCCCTTTCTTTCTTTTCCCTTCTCATATTCTCCTTTTCTCCCTTTTTCTCTCCTCCGTCTTTCCTCCTTTTCCGCCTTTTCTCTCCTCTCTCTCTTCCCCTTTCTTTCTTTCCCCTCCTTTTTCTTCCCTGTTTTCTTTCTTTCTTTTTCCCCTCCGTTTTTCTTTCCCCCTCCTTTTTCTCCTTTCCTCCCTTTCCTTTTCCCCCTTCCCCATGCTGAATACCTGGCATATAATGTAGAACGCAGAGGGCGACATAGCACTATCAATCAATTATGATAATTATTCTTCTTCTCTCTATCTCTCTCTCCCCCTAGAAACGCACATACACAAGCTGTACAATCAAATCGCGTTGTTATGTTCCCATCAATCGATAGATCTAATATTAATGGAACAAGTGAAGTGAACGAAAAAGAAACCTCAGAGGGTTGGTTTTACTGGAATATACACATTGGAAATCATAATTCGTTCATTTTACGTGAGTATTTTGCTTATATTTTGTGAATAATATCAGTGAATTGATTGCAATCAAGCGCAAGCAGGAAAGTAAAGATCCACCTGCCGCATAGTTTGGCTATCCGTTAGACCGCAATGGCAGGGTCAACCGCCCGAAGTCATCGGCGTAGCTGCAGCAGCTGGACGTGGTCACATGCAAATGCCAATGATGATTGGTGTTGTGCATTAATTGTGCCTGTGCTGTGTAAATGAATTATGCTTACTTGCCAACGTGTACATGAAGCTGTATAGAATGAAATAGACACTCAAATTTAGCTTGAAATGCAATGTAAACTGTATCTGTAATGTTTGGAATTAGAAACTCAAACTGTACCCTCTCATTTCAACGTTTTCCAATTCCATGTTCTAATTCTGATGATAATGAATGAAATTATATCTGATGCCGGGTGTGTCTGCATGGATGCTTATCCTAATTAAAGTCTACTAGAAAATAGTTATTTAGTCTACCGGTATGTGATATATTCATTATCATGACATTGTGCACAGTCTGTATGTTTGGCATGAAGACGAGACATGGGCAGTAACATTAAGAAGGAGATATTATTTTTTTTAACATCCCTGAAAAATATTACCTTCATTCATTTTCCAGGTCAACTAGACAGACCCATTTTCCTGATGATTCTGACTGAGTCTGTTGTCTTCTAGACCTCTACTATCATCATCTGCAACAAAACGCCAAGATATGGTGAAAGGCTTCCTGCGGAGTCCCGAGGGGCTCTTCCAGTTGTCACCGAGCGTCACATTAGTCGGACGAGAGAATTGTGACTTAAACATCCAGGTACGATAAATTTATCTTTATCTAATCTAATCTAAGGGGGTTCCATGGAGTGTGTCCTGCATGGCATGCTTGACTTTTTCATTTAAATCATCTGGACATTTGAAATCTCTTGATACGTCCATTGAATAAAATTATTAATACTGGAAAGATGTGACGTTAGCAGGTTTTCAAGGCTAAATCGCCCCGAGCCCCGTGTATTTTTTTCCCTGGACATTAGAAAGATGCATTTAATAGTCAGTGATATTATCAAAAGAATTTTCCTTGTGGATAAAATAGATGGATAAAAGTCACATGTTGTAAGAGACACAAAGCACACTTTGTCATCTATATTTTCCTTCAAAGCAGAAATCACTCATGAAGATACTGTTAATGGATAAGGTTCTGGTATTGTCAAAAGTGGGAGGTTGGGGGCAGGTTGACTACCGGTATGTAATTGTTAAACAAATTATTGCCACTTTAAAGAGTGTCAGATACAAGTGGTAGATTGAGTTAATGTACAAATGTACGAATAGGATTTTGTCCCCTCTTGCAATTATATGTAATATGGTTATTTTCCCATAATTATGTCCAACTTTTTTGGGCTGAGGAAAAAATAGTACTTTCCAACATTGAAATATATCAGAGCCTTTCTTTAGCTTCTTCTCATTAAAATGTGCTTTATCTTCTTAGATCTTGTGCTTATTAGCAAGAATATCTACTCTAATGTTTTCTCTTTCACCCCTCCCCCCCCCCCCCCATCTTCATTGCAGCTATCGTCAATAGAATTACAGCACGCTGTTATCGAGTACAGCGATGCCGAAAGCTGTTTCGTGATCCAGGACCTGAACACTGCGCATGGAACGTACGTCAACGACTGCCGCGTTCAGAATGCTGCCGTGAGGCTGGCTCCGGGAGACAGTATCAGGTTTGGGTACACGGGATTCCCGCATGAATTGGAGGTGGAAGATGACCAGGTAATTTATGTTGTTTTGTGGATAACATCAAATCCATTTAGATTTAGCTTTTCGATGTTACTGCAATGTGTAGTATATTAAGAATCAAGTTGTATCAAAGAAGTTAGTCATTTGGGATTAAGTAAGCTCAGTGTTATATGAGACCTGGGGGTGTTTCACAAAGACTAAGATTGACTTTCAGTTGGATCTAACTATGGCAGGCCATTCATGCTACTGGTTGCTCTCATCATTGGTCTCTCAATGCAGGGCTCTCAGTGAGAACAATGAGGCTAGACCTGAGTAAAGAAGACACTACTATTATCATTATTATTATTACCCATTTTCTGAATCGTTAGCAGCTGTTGTCTATTCTGTTTTATAGTATTTTGCTTGTACATTTGTTATTCCAATTGTTTATGTAATGTTAAATAGATTTGCATGTTCTTATCCTTGTAAATATGTGTTTTATAGATCAAATGAATTGAACCAAACTGAACCCTTTTCACTGTCTACAAAGGAGCACACTGGAATTTATATTTCATGTTGCAGTGTCATTTTCATTTCAGAATTAACATGTATATTTTATTTGGTTTGTTAGGTATCTTATCCGCCTGTTGGTGGTAATAGGGGTGGAGCCAGGATGATGCAAGAGAGTGTACCCCTCACCGACTACTCCCAGTCCCAGCTCCCATACCTCAACAACCATGCAGGGGGTGACGCCCCTTACGGCCAACCCCAGCAGTCCACCCTCCCTTCCCTGGGAGGGGGCTCATCAGCTGCCCCACCCCCAGCAGTATGGGGGACCCCACCCACAGGCGTTAGTGGGGGTGGGGTGATACCGAGACCCCCCAGAGCCAGACCGACGAGTGCGGGTAACAGGAGGGGGAGCGGAAGTGGACCGGGGACTGGGGGAGGGGTGCATATTGCAAGTCAGAGCCCTACAAACAGCCCTCTCCCACCAAGACGAGGTAAGTCATGCTTTAGATTAACGTGGACTGTTTCCCTATTGAAGTTAAAATATGGATCTTGTAATATCTCTAGGTAGGAGACATAGCTCAATATTCACTCAATTTATTGTATTTCTAACCAGAGGAAATCAAAAGATTTTTTTTTCTCTTTGCCTCTGATGAGGTGTTTATTCAATATTCAAACAATATCATAATTTCGCAATCAGTTAAGCAAAACAATGGAACGTCAATAATACAAATATTTTTGTAAATATAATTATTAATATTTTGTACTTTCAAATGTTCATATATTTTTAGTCTGTGAGTCATTTCTCTCTTAAATAAATCCAATTCAAATCTCTATTATCATACGCATACTCATTACAAATAATAATAATTTTATAAATAGAACAAAAAGCAATCATCATATTAAAAAGATACTCAAAGTGCATATACGCCTGCTCCTGACTGGAGCACTGTGTGTGTAATTGACAGTAATGCCTGTGAGTTTAAGATAGTGATCTTCATAACGATTGTAGGAAACAATCTTATGGCCTTCCTTAGCTTTTAAACACAGAAAATACTTCATGAACAATACCATGACCCTCATGTGAAAGAGACCTAAAGATGCCAGCAAATCTTGTTTGCTCTTAGATGCAAGCAAAATTTAAAATTAAACAATAAACATGTATGACCAACAAAAAAGAGCAAAAATGAATGTAAATTTCTAATGGAATGGGTAGATATCTTACTGAAGAATGATATTTTTCCCGCAATGATAAATATTGTTATGTACTTTATTGTACTGTAATTATGTAGATAAATGCCTAAAGAATTGAATTCCTAAAGGATCCTAAAGGATCATATAGCCTATCAAACATTAAACTTTTGGATGTACCTTTAAGTGATATACTGTGTTTTCATTTAATCTTTGCAGCCGTAACAGGAGGATGGGTTGGTTCAAGTGGAGCTCGAGGTGTAACGTCCACTCAGCAGGTCAATGGCAGTCCTAACACAAGAGCGTCACCGGTCAATGACATGTTAGCTGCTCATGAAAAGGTCAGTCAAGAATCATTTTTATACAAAAGTTTTGGATACAAGTCATTGTAGTCTTCTGGCCTACTCACATGTTGCATCCATTCAACTTGCAATGTCTTGAAGTAATATTCAAAGCTGCTATTCTTTTGGTATAGGATACCAGCATGTAAACACACTGAGAGAAACAAAAATAGTCGACATTACAGTGTACATGATTTTGACATCTATCCCAAAATAATGCCGGGAACACTATGTGGTCATTATTTGGGTTAAATTGCAATGTAGGTTTTGCTGAAGTGTTAATATAAAGAGTTGGTGTAAATGATTAAGATGATTTTGACATGATCCATCACAAGATCTGCTCATGCTTGAAGACCTTCATCACAACACCTGATTCTTTACCATTACCGTCAAGACCTGTCTCGTATGGATTTGATGTCTAAATTTTTTACTGTAGAATTTATGCTTCGTGAATATTATGAAATATATGAATAGATAGGGCTGTCAAGTCCAGGGGGGTGTTTCACAAAGATGCTAAGTTGAACTTAACAATTATGGAAAGCCGTTAGCATCTATGAAAATATTTTGTAAAAGTTATTTTAAAAGGCATACAATGTTGATTCTAATCATTCATATTTCTTATTATCAAGGAGATTTCATGTTCTTGATGTGGAATTTATAAAAAGTCTAAAATACTTGACTTTTCACCTTTGAATATATTTTATTTTGAGGCTACAAATGGCTCTCCATAATTTTAAGTCCAAATTAGGATCTTTGTGAAACACCCCCCAGAGGACGTATCGCATTTTTCACTATGTCCTCATGCTTTTCCCAATCCTCCTTTACTCCACAGGATCAGAGGCTGCTCAGAATGGGTGACGAAATCAACCGACTGGCTGTTTTCGAGGCTGAATCCCAGCGGAAGGACGGGGTCATCGGTCAGCTGCGGTCGGACATGGAATCCTTGGCCATGCAGTCACACCAGGCCCAACAGCAGCAGAAACCTCCTCCGGTAGCCGATACCACGGTCCAGAAGAGACTCAAGGAACTGGAGAAGGATGTCAATCTGAAGCAGCTCGAGGTCAATGCACTGAAGGAAAAGGTCAGTAGGTCACCTATAATGAACTGGTCGCATATCACTTATAAACCTAATGAGAATGAGAACTGTTTTATCGCTCAATGTTGTGCAGGTATTGTTCCTGTGAAATTCTCATTGCTATAAAGTCTGTCAGCTACACCAATTAATATTTTTTCTATATATTCATTTATCTGTAGTTTAAATAACTGTAAAGGTTGTAGAAATATTGAAGACTCAAGAAAACATGTCAAGATAAGATTTTTGTTAAAGGGGAGGGGCGTCATGACCTTGCAGTATAAACTGTGGCAATATGCCAAGATAATCAGAGCAAAAAAATACCACCAGGGGCTTGTAATATAAAAGTTTACCGATAATCAGTAGCAAAAATCAATTGTATCTCCATTCTTGCTACAATTTATTGTATATTACATTGAATTGTATCTTCCTGTAACATCATATTGACAGTACAGTACTACTGATTGTACAGATATGATTGATTGAAAGAGGTAGAACTACTTTTTATGAGGTACAATCAATTGTAACTCGTAAATGAAACAGTGCTCTCATCCTTCAACATTACCTCAAAATTTCCCTGCTTTGCCTTTGACCTTACTTTTCAGAGGAAAAGAAAACTATGTAAACCTAGGGTTTCTCATTATTTTTCTGACGAGAAGGAAGTCTGTGAATGATTGAGCACCTTGTCATTGTAGCATAGATAAAGCCAGAGTGATGATATGATTGGGAGAACAGTGTTGATATTGATGAGGCTGCCTTGGGTACACAAGATATAATTTCTTCTTTGTTTCTTTGTTTCTTCTTCTTCTTCCTATCCTTCTCCTTCCTCTCTTCTTCTTATCATCATTATCATTATCATAATTATTATTGTTATCACAATAATCATCATTATCATCATCATGATCATCATCATCATCATCATCATCATCATCATCATCATCATCATCATCTTCGTCATCATCGTCATCACCATCATCATCATCGTCATCATCATCTTCGTCATCATCATCATCACCATCATCATCATCATCACCACCATCATCATCGTCATCACCAGCATCATCATCATTATCATCATCATCATCATCATCATCATCATCATCATCAGCATCATCTTCGTCATCATCATAATCACCATCATCATCATCACCACCATCATCATCGTCATCATCACCAACATCATCATCATAATCATTATAATTTTTGTCATTATTATTATCATTGTTGTTACAACAGATGTCCAAGATGAGGATGGAGAGCACCGATCCCATGGAGAACATCGCCCACCTGCGCTCCCTGCTCCACCAGCGGGAGCGGGAGCTGGTCTCCCTGCGCCAGGAGGTGGACAAGCTCCGCAAGGAGAAGGGCACCAGCTCCGCCCTGATGACCAAGCTCCAGCGCGACCTCACCACCAAGGAGGGCAGCATCTCCAGGATGAGGGGCGAGGTGGAGCTCCTCAAGAAGGAGCTGAGGGAGAAGGAGGTGGCCATCTCGGCGCTGGCCGCCAAGTTCTCCCGCATGAGGGAGACCAAGAAGCACGAGGAGGAGCTGGCGGCAAGGAACAAGGAGGTGGTCACACTCAAACATGTAAGGACACTCTTTAACCCTCCCAAGTTATTAATCTAATTCACAACATCCTCATTTTGTCCAATAATCATTGAAAGTTCTGAATGAGAATGTGTAAGCTGTCACACTTAAACATGTGGGGACACTTTTAACCCTTTTATTTTATTCATCTAATTAAAAACTCAAAAGTACATCCTCATGGAGTTAAGAGTGGTGAATGAGAATGTGTGAGCTGTCTAACTTAAACATGGAAGGACACTTTCATTCTTATTCCTTTCTGTGAATTTACCAAGTACAACCTTCTACGAAGTTCCAAGTATACTGTACATTCACATTTGCATTAACTTTTTACCCTTGCAAAATTATGTTGAATATCTGTGTGGTATTGATGCTGAAATGTCTGCTTACATGATTACATTATCACATAAAATTGGAAATGCACACATGTACCTTTATAAATTTGAGTTTTGTTATCAAACTCATTGGAATTAGATGATACTAAGCTACAGTAGCATTTGAAATCGACTAAATTTCAATCGTCTCCAAATAAAGATGTGTTGTAATAGAGGAAGGGTCTACAGACATTTAGTTATATTCATACTAATTTTTATCCATTTGATTGTTTTCTCTGCTATATTTGTTTTAATCATTACTTCTCTCTTCATTATTCATCTTGTGTTCCTTCTATCTGTCTATCATTGCTTGAATGGAGTGTAGTCTCAGCTCGAGACTGCCTTAGAATCGTATCAGAAAACACTGTTTGCGCGAGACACTGAATACTTCAGCTTAAAGACTGTAAGTTAATAAACATGTCCCGAAGCATCATGTCAAAGATCCCAAACAGTCACACACTAGTTGCATCATCAGTGATTTCAAGTATGGTATTATTCCCAGGGAATCTATTCAGGGCCTCTAGTCCATATCTTTACGGGCCTGGTCCTAGCCCATGTTCCAGGGTCCTTGTCCTTACATTAAAGAAGACAGCAACTAACCGGTCTTTGAAAACAAATGACCTGTTGGAAGTCCAGTTTTGTTAAAAAGGGTGTTTACATAAAAAAAACATGTATCAGCTCGTATTTGCATTTCATTACCCGAGTCTCAAATCTTCATAATACCGGTAGTCTTGATTTTCAGATTTTGAGTAGAAGACTCCTATTTATATACCACTCAAAGTGAAGAACTTGTTGAGCTTTAAAACAAAAAATTGTACCAAATTTACAAAAGTAGCACACATATTTCTAGAGTTGTTACCACTTTTATTATTTTTGGGGTAGTGAATATTTTTACCTTGGAATTGTCCAGATGAGTCTTATTAAAAAATTATTCTCGATATCTGGGGTTTTGCTCAGGGTATTAAAATGTATGGTACACACCCCAAATCTAAAGGAAATTTCTCGAGGTGTTTGATACGTGATAGCAATGTCACAACTATCCTATTCCTACACAATTACAGTATTCCATACCATACTTGAAAGCATTGAATGATTAATGTTAGTTCACCAAAGCTGCATGCTGCATATATATTGTTCAATCCATGTCATAGCATAGTCAAAATTACCTGTAGTATGTATTCTTTTCAAAGCTGATTTATATATTTACTTTCTTCATAGCCTTCATAGATTCCCATTTAAAATGCAACTGTTTCTGCAACATATTCCAGAAATATGATTTACAATCACATACATGTTAAATATCACATCTCAAAATAGTTCCCTTGTAATTTTTGTTTTGATATTCAAAAAGATATGCAACATTATGATTGCCATAGTAGAAATCACAGTTCATTCACATAAAATCCAATGAAACTTTGCATGAAGATATTGTCCGTAACAAACCAAACTTTATTGCTTTTCAAATGCAGCAATAAGTGTTGTGTAAGGCCCACACTAGGGAAAATATGAAAGGCCATTTGTCCATGGTCACTGCAAAAGTATTGTTAAATTTTAGTCTAGTAAATTGTGATTAAACTTTGAACTGGTAGAGTTTTAAAAAACTTCTATAAGTTGTTAGAATGATATACTTTAATTCTAGTACTCTACCATAGCTATTCTATCATATGGCAAAAGCAGGAATCATTTTGATTTTAAACAGATTGATGAATTTTCTCATTTTATGCTTCAAACTAAATTCCTTTGCCTGAAACTCTCTGTTATCTTCTAATTTAAATAATCATGAAAATACATTTATGCATGATTGAACCATAAAAGGAGACTTCCAACAGGTTTAAACGCTTTCTTGAATCTAGCGTCTCATCCAGTAGCGACAAACAGTTAGGTTGTTAAGGAATTAGCTCTAAGTCTTGTCTTTGTTTGAGAATCGGCTGGGTAAATACGAGACAATAGAGGGCTGGTAAACAAACCCATCTTGTAGTCTGTAGACATAAAGCACTTGTGAATTTTATAAGGCATGACTTTTGAATGTCTACTTGGTGTTTTGTTTGAATTAAGAGCATCGAATGGGGGGGGGGGGGGGTGAAAGGAAATCAAAAGTCTTTTTTTGTGCATGTTTAGCAGGTCTGTGATGTATTAGAGTGTACAGTGGCATTTGTTTGTAGAAGAATACTCTCACTAAGAAATTTTTACTGTATAACCAGCATATACAATTCAAAATCTTCATTGTTTTAGTATTTATAGCAATTTAAAAATTCCCTTTCTATTTCCTTTCATTTGATTATCTAAATACAAATGTGTTTATTGTTAACTCATCATTTCCATACTCTGGTAAAATCACGTTTATTTTATAAGGTTTGCAAAAAATATTTTGAAGAACAAAAAAAAAACTTGTTTTATTTGATTGAATTAAGTTTTGTTATCTCAAGAAAAATTGTCAATTAAGATACAGGCTGTACTCAATTTAAATTTATTTCATTGTGTAAGTGATATTGTAATCCTGTATGGTAATAAGTGTTTAATGTGCATGTAAAAGTTAGAGAGTTTGGTATGCTTGGTGAAAGTCGTATTGTTGCTTCACTTGCTCTGCAAGTATATGCATCAAAATAGATGGAATAGAGGATGTACATGTAATGTTAAAGTCATATTTCATTGTGTAGTCTATTTTTTCTTTGCTATACTGTTCGTCTGAATGGTGCATTTGTGTTGTTCTCATTGCCTTGTTTTTGTTAGCTCTTAAGAGTATGTCTGATGTATTATCTTTTGTCACGTCATATGTGTTCATGAAATGTGGTGATATTTAAGAAATAAAAAAACATAACGCATGTATGTGGAGTAGTTTAGTAAATAAGAATTACTTTTTTTATAGAAAAATATGTCACGCCATTATTTTTTTCTTTCCTCAGGTGTCATTGCTTCTTTATTTTTCATTTTAAAAATACATGATTTTGTGATAATCTTCAACATCTAAAAAACATGGCCTGCATTTTTGTACATGAATAGTACCATATTTCATATCTTGCTTATTTGTTGAAAGAAATTTCTGGCTTGCTTCTTACACTTAGTAGATGTTTCTAGACAAAGCCTGTACTGTTTTGAAGATTATTTTAGTGTTATAGTAGAAATAGAATATATTTCTGGCTTCAGTCATTCATTCTTCGTATAGTTTCATTAAAATGATTGCAGATTCATTTTGTATGATTCAACACTTTCCATTTCATTGTGTATTCATACCTACATGTGTCTTTTTATATCATGCAAAAATTTTGTATATTGAAATTAATGAGATCGACTTATTAAATAGAAATGATACTAGTGCTAATTGTGTAATTTTCATCCAAATTCTGAAACGTTTACACCCTTTCAGTAGTAACACTATTAGACGGGACAGATAAAAAAGACATTATCCGTTAATGGCAAGATTAAACCATTATTAGGTGTCAAAGATGGGATATTATACTCTAGAGACAATGGTTGACAAAGTCAATTTGTTGAGAGTGATTGACACCATGATAAGAACACACTTCATAATGTTTCGATGTATGAACTTTGATGAACTTTGTATTTTTAATTGATTTATTGATATTTTTATAGAAATTGAAAGGTGCCGAGAGCAAGGTCGAGGCACTCACGAAACAGACCGCTGAACAGAAAGAGGAGATTGATAAGTTAACAGCTCAAGTTGAAGATGAATCAAAGGTCAGTATAATGATAATGTAAATATTGATGGAGTTATGAATGACTGTAGGAATACATTTGGATTAAGGGTGGGAGGGTGGGGGAGGGGGGGGGGGTTAGCATTGGAAATAAATTCTTATGTAAAATACTTATTAAAAAACAATAATTTTTTTTTTTTAAATCAGTGAAGAATAATAATTGATATAAATGTTCATTTTCATAGATTGAACAAAAATTGCAAACCCTAGTCGGGAGTGCGGATGGGACACTCTTTTAAAGTTCCAATTTTAATGTTCATTATTGTATTAAATAAAATTACAACTACACTAAATATTGAGATTATACCCTGCCTTTTAGAAAAAAAATCAAGAAATTCCTTCTGTTACTTAATGAGAGGGTGTAAAACACTGATAGAATGCCATAGAAAATTTAAACAAAGAAGAGTAAAAGAAGCGTATTTAAAAGTGCTTGTTTTTTCATTACAATTATTATGATTTTTATGGATATTGTATTTTTAACTTTTGTGCATGACCAATATCTTTTAAAACAACATTTGAATTGACTTTGAATGGAACTGAATTCTAGTATTATTATACATTTAAGTTTTTTACATGTCATTCATGTGATATTCATTTCCCTTTTCTCTCTCTCTCTCTCTCATACTTCCCACAATGATAGACAAAACAGAGGTTTAAAGATGAGAAGGAAGACATGAAGAAGAAATTCCTGGAGTCTCAGAGATTAGAGAAGCAAGCCAGAGTAGACATCGACCAAGCTAAGAAACAGGTAAGTCTCTTAAGACATTGTTCAAAGTTGTATATCTAATATCTAATTGGTACTTTAATGTAGAGGTGTCGTGATTGAGTGGATATGTCACCGGACTGTGGATCACAGGGTCCGCGGTTCAAGTCCCGCCGCTGCACTAATGTCCTTTGGCAAGACATTAATCTACATTTGCCACACACTCGACCCAGGTGAGGTTAATGGGTACCTGGTAGGATAACTCCTTGAAATGCACTTTGCGCTGATAATGGCTGCCGAAGCTATAGCTAGGGTAATAATTTCCAAAGCTCTTTGGAAGCTCATAGGGAAGTTATAATGTAAAATGCGCTATACAAGAACAGACTATTATTATAATTATTATTATTCAAGAACAGGGTAAAGCTGTCCCCTGATTAGAATGTAAAGATTTATTTACAGAAGTGTTATTAAAACAATACTTGTCAATAGCACTCTATCTGCAAATGCTGTGGTGCTCAAGGAGTCTAGCAAGGAGTCTAGTAGTCCCCCTTTTTCTTCTGAGCTAAATCTCAGTTCTCAAAGCATATGAGGGATTTCTGCCTACCAGGTTCCCAGTTATGACACCCGGGTCAAGAGTGGCAACTGTTGATTAATGTCTTTACCAGAGGTTATAGATACACTGGAACGATCCAATGATTTAAAGCCCCACTGCACTACTTGTAGCTACTTGCGCCCTATATACAACAAACAATGCATAATCGGTGCCATTGGTCCCCCATGATCCTCTTTTTCTAATGTTAATTGATTTGATGAAATAACCACCTGCCAGTGACCATGCAGGGAGGTCTAATCCCTCCTGTTCACTAGTATTGATGGTCTTAAAGGTTTGTGGATAGTGAGTGTTCAGATTTCAAATATAATTCGTTCTAAATTGCTGTCTTAATTTAGCTGGAGCGCTTTAGACAAAGGGTCATGCAGACGACTTTCTCGGCTCCGGGATTCCGTGTGCCTGACGACGAATCGACCGTCACGGACGACAGCCTCTTGGAGACGATGACCAAGCTCATCACGGAACGCAACGAGGCGAAGAACAAGTTGCGAGAACTCAAAGACACCATGAAGGGTCTGGAGACATCGAGCAAGGAGACTAAGTCTAGCCACAAGACACTCAAGCAACATCTGATAGCTGCGGAGGTGAGTTGCATTCTCATTTTAAAGATTTATTACAAGGTCTTTCTAGGTTTGAGAGTTTAACATAGTCATATTTTATATAAACCATGAGTTGCTTTGATGCTTAATTTCACCTTTTCTATGCAGCACGACAAACAAAATACGTTAGGTACAAATCAACAAAAACTCAAAACAAAACAAACAAAGTTTAAAAAAAAAAATGGCTGATGGAAATTTTCATACTTGCATCTGAAATGAAGAAGAGGGAGTAGAGTCGAAAGGTGAACTCCATTTCGATGATGATAATATTAACATGTTTTAGGGATTTTTTTATGAACTTGATTAAGTACCAAATTTGCGGCAAAACCACTTTGAACAGAGGTTTATAATGAATTATTAAAGGGAGATGGTCGTCAGTTTCCATATGCAGTAGGTCATAATTAGCCAACACCAGACTTGGTGGAAATACCATTAAAGGTAAAGACCAGTATTGGAAACGCCCCAGTTTTAAAAAATGAAATGGAAGCTCTCATTACCAATCATGTGAAAGAATATGTTTTGAATAATACATGATGATAAAAAATTTGCCGGGAAACCGCCTGCTAATTCATATATTGGTAAATTTGTTTCTCTCATGGTCTGTGAGAGATATAGGGTAGTCCCATATATATCTTTCTGTGTATAGTGCTTGTAACTTTACGAAGAATGGGCCAAATTTCTTATCATTTTGATGATTCCAGAACCTTGCAGATGCTAGATGCTAGATGATCAACCTTTTCTGATCGATTCCACGTTTCTTTCACAATGCAATCGCATGACCATAACTGGTCTTTACCTTTAATGGGTGTACGAGTCTTACACACAACAAACCAGTGGTCCCGTTTAATGTTATTAACATTTTGTTATTTTTACGATTTTTCAGAAACGTCTTGAAGAAGGAGGCAGAACATGTTCCCACATTCGTAACGAGATCAAGCTCCTCCAGTCGGTCACCGTGGATGAATCCTTACAGAACGTCAAAGACACCATCGCTATGATGCTCCAGAATGAGTTGGCATGGCAACAGTCGTTTGAGACCACCCTGGAGAAGTGTGGCTTTGACATCAAGACTGGTGGCAAAGGTAATAAAGATTGCTTTAAGCATTGTTGAAATAACTTTACTTTTCTTTACATTTAATGACAATTTAATGAATTGGAATACTATTTTATTATTCCTCATTTCTTAGGTATTATATCCATAAGAGCATATATTTAAATACCTTAAAGCTTTGAAATAAAGTTAAAGCTAAAATTGCAATTGCATAGTGAAAGAAACGTTGTGAAATCGATCAGAAAAGGTTGGTCATCTAGCATAGATGTACTGCAAGGTTCTGGAATCATCAAAATTATAAGAAATTTGGCCAAGTATTCATAAAGTTAGAAGCACTGTACACAGAAAGATGTATATGGGACTACACACACGTGCGCGGCACATGCATTTGTATCTCTCAACAGTATATAGATATACTAATTTACCAAATATATCAATTAGTAGGCGGTTTCCCGTCAAAATTTTTATCGTCATGTAATATTCAAATGATTTTCCATGATTGGTATTAAGAGCTTCCATTTCATTTTTTGAAATTGGGGCGCTTCCAATACTGGTCTTTACCTTTAAAGATGCGCTAAATCTATGTATGAATTCAATACAACTTTACAGAGGGCTGAAGAATAAATAAACACTGCAATTTTTGTTTGTTGATGGTCCCTGTATTTATTTCACTGGATAATGTGAAACTAATGTAAAATTTTAAGAACAGATTGTAGGAAGATATCTTTGTGTTAGAATTTGGTGACACTTTTTGACCAGAATACAAGATCCAAGAGTTAAGGAAAAAGTCAGGGCTGACGTGTTCGAAGCAACGTGAGAAATTCATGTTAACTTTGTGGTTAAAATTTTATTATGGTTTAATTTAATTTATTACTCTATAGACTCAAGCCAGTTAATTCAGGCTTCTTCCTCTTCTTCTTCCAGTATAGTACAGTCCGCCATTGGCGTATTATCGTACCTTGTGCTTGTCAAGTGCCGAGTGTACAGTGCAAGTAAAAAGGCTCTACAAGAATTCTATGTACAGTTAAAGTCTAATTTATTAGTCACTGAAGATCATCTGTGTATAAAAGATTTTTGAAATAAATTGTAGGCCTTGGTACATTCTAGTATGGGAATAATAATTCCTCAGAGAAACTTGAATAATTGTAAAACAGCATATTAAGAATGAAAAGGAAATGCACAATATTTACAAATTAATTTGTTTGGGCCATATTGCAGATCTTCAAGCCCACATCGATAAACTGAGAGACCAGGCTAACAAGGAGAAGAAACTGAAGGAGGAGATTCAGATGAGCGTCGACACCATGTCATCGGGGGTCAGATCGGAGATGGAGAGGAAGCTGGAGAGACAGAAGATGGAGCATGAAGAGACGATGAAGTTCACCATGGAAAGAGTCAAATTAGAAAGTAAGACCATTGGATGATTTGGAATGATAAGTGTGATAACGATGGTAGTAGCAGTAATAGCAGTCGTGTTGAATATAGAGAGAAAGTTTATAACAATGGATATCATAATAATAATAATGTTAATAATATTCAGTTCTTGTATAGCGCATAATATGTTATGAAATAACATATTATGCGCTTTCAAAGAGCTTTGCAAATTATTACCCTAGCTTTGCTGACAATGTGGGATTAAGATTATGACTTTGATAATGATAATGATGATGATGATATCAATAGTGATTATATGATAAAGTAGAGAAATGGAAAATGGATAGAATGATCATATATATGATGAGAGTATTGTTGATAGTAATGGTGATGATGATAATTGTATTAGTGTTGATGATTACAACTAAGAATTCAATATGGACAGACTTGAAATAGAAAGTAAGACCAATAGATAATTTATTATTTAAATAATAATTATGATGACAATGAGGATGATGATGGTGAGGATAATGATGATAAGGTTTATTATTATCATTGTGATTAATGATGATGATGATGATGAAGATAATGATATTAATGGTGGTGATGACAATGGTGATAATGATATTGATGATTATGGTGATGATGATGATAATAATAATGCTATTAGTGATGATGATTACAATGATGGATATGATGGTAATGATGATAAGTATTATTATTATTATGATTGATGATGATGATCATTACTAAAAAGGGTAAGCTATTGATAGTTGCACTTATGAAAATGATTGTCATAATAACAACAATAAGGCCAGTAATGCTGTTGGTGAAAATGATGGTAATGATAACATAACAATAATTGTTCTAACATGAACATTATGACAACAACATGACTGCAACTTTTGCAGTTATCTAAATCATATTAATTTATCAACTAACTATACAATCCTTAATCAGGTGTCAAAGAAATGCAAACAGCCGTTGAAGAAGCAAGACAATCTGAGAAGACGAGATTGGAGGAGACTTTGCAGTCAGAGAGACAGAAGGTACAACATCAAGAGCAGAGCCTGGAGCAGCTCAGACAGGTATGAATGAAAAGTAGATTTGGAGATAAGAAGATGAATGGATGGATGGATAGATAGATAGATGGATGGATGAATGGATTGATAGGTGGATGGATGGATGCATGGATGGAGGGAGGGAGGGAGGGAGGGAGGGAGGGAGGGAGGGAGGGAGGGATGGATGGATGGATGGATTGGTGGATGAATGGATGAATGGATGGAGGGAGGGAGGGAGGGAGGGAGGGAGGGATGGGTGGATGGATGGATGGATGGATGGATAGAGGGATGGATGGATGGATGGATGGATGGATGGATGGATGGATGGATGGATAGAGGGATGGATGGATGGATGGATGGATGGATGAATGAATGGATGAAAGATGGGTAGATGGATGAATGAATGGATAGATGGATGGATAGGTGGAAAGACTGTTGATTGGATGGATGGATGGATGGATAAATGAATGAGTGACTGAATAGATGAATGAAAGTCAGAAGTACAAGCACAGTTAAGAATATATATTGTATAGAATAGTAGAACATTATGACAAACAGGAGAAACTGTAACGATTGTTAAATATTTATATCTAACAAGTTTGCTAAACAAAATCATAAGAACTCAAAACAAGACAATTTGTGCTGATATAGGGATAATGCTGCTTATGATAATTAAAACTAATGTTATGGATGGATGTTAAAATGAAATTAATTATGTTGGGTTGAAGGGCTATAATATGTTTAAGATACCATGCAGATATATATATATATATATATATCTCTTTTAATTTACTTGGTGATAATCACTAGTTTAAATAAGTTAACATCTGTTTTGTTTTGTTTTGTAGGCTCTGACAGAAAGAGGTACAGATGATGAGAAATATGTCACCATGGAGAAGAGTCTGAAATCACAAATCGAAGAACTCCAGAAAGAAGAGGTAAGAATTCTTCTCAGATCCAAGTGTTTTCATTTCGGAAGTCAACATGCACATCAAATATTACATTGGAAATCTATGTTTGTGTTTACATATAGTAATAGTTGATTATAGTATAAATTATTAGACATGGACTATGTAGTAGGAGAGCATGATAGAAAATAGGTGGATATAATGATAAAATGGAAGATAAAAGTAATACTAGGAGGAAAAAGATGAAGAGAAGGAAAATAGTAGATATAGAGAAATAGAAGCAAGACAGAGAGAGAGACAGACATACAGAGGTAGAGAGAGAGAGAGAGAGAGAGAGAGAGAGATAGGGAAATAGGGAGAGAGAAGCGAAAGTAATTTGGAAAAAGAAAAAAAAAGAAGAGATTGATGGAAATTGAAAGAGAACAAGAAAGATCGGAGGGTAAACAAAAGAGGGGGAGAAAGAGAGAAAAGGGAAGAGAGAGAGAGAGAGAGAGAGAAGGAAGGTGAAAGAACGAGAGAAAGAAAGGAGAAAGAGGATGAGAAAGAGAGAGAGAGAGAGAGAGATTTATCATGAATCCTGTAACATCAGCTATATTGATTCAGAAAGACCAGCAACGAATATAAACAATGAAATGCACCTTACCATCACTATCACCCAAATAATAGAACCATATGCGATTTTAATTGAAAGTTGGGGCAATCTATCAATGTCACATAAACATGTCATCGATCTTGGCTCAACTACATATCAACTATGGGTGCGTTTAATCGACACTTTTTCACCCTAGAATCACGGTTTCTAAAGACGTTTAGTTTAAAACGCAATGCGTTCAAGCAATTTTTTTGTCGGTCGTAAAAATAAACGTGTTTGAAAACACAAACATGAAACGCTGAAAAAGATGCGTTTTGTATCATGATTCTGCAGAATCACGGTCGCTAAAATTTGATTGAACGGACGGAGTTCTCAATCATGATTGTATGACGGAGCCTGTTCCGGTTTGGGCAAAAACCGCGCGCCTGCTTTTCATGCAATTTGCGTTTACTATACCATGCTCTTTATCGTGGCCTGTTCCGTTATGTTATACCTTGTTTTCCTTCTATCTTTTTCTCTTTCCGTCTTTCCTTATGTTATTCTTTGTTTCTTCCTTCTATTCTTATGTTATTCTTTGTTTTTTTCCTTCTATCACCTTCTCTTATGTTATTCTTTATTTTTATAATTCTATCACTTTCTCTTTTGTTATTCTTTGTTTCTTCCTTCTATTTTTGATGTTAATCTTTGTTCTTTTCCTTCTCTCAGCCTTTCTTATGTAATTCTTTGTTTTTATAATTCTATCACTTTCTCGTTTGTTATTCTTTGTTTCTTCTTTCTATTCTTATGTTAATCTTTGGTTTTCCCTTCACTCACATTCTCTTATGTTATTCTTTGTTTTAATCAGTCTATCACTTTCTGTCTTTCCTTATGTTATTCTTTGTTTCTTCCTTTTATTCTTATGTTATTCTTTGTTTTTTCCTTCTATCACCTTGTCTTATGTTATTCTTTGTTGTTATAATTCTATCAATTTCTCTTATGTTATTCTTTGTTTCAATTATTCTATCACTTTCTCTTTCTGTCTTTCCTTATGTAATTCTTTGTTTTAAGCATTCTATCACTTTCTCTTTCTGCCTTTCCTTATGTCATTCTTGTTGCTTCCTTATATCACATTCTCTTACGTTATTCTTTGTTTTAATAACTCTATCACTTTCTCTTTCTGTCTTTCCTTATGTTATTTTTTGTTTCTTCCTTCCATCACCTTCTCATTCTTTGTTTTATTATTGCGATCTATGCTCAAAACAGCAGTCGACAGTCGGCCGTAAACAATTCCAAAAAGCGCGCGCCAAAGTTGACCTATACTTCCTGGGTCAAACTGCGAGTGTGACGCGAAGTGGCTGGGCTCGAAATGAGCTAGAATCAGCGTTGATAAAAAATCGCTTGAACGCTAACCACAGTGACCTTGTTTTTTGTAATGGCGTTTTGATTTGTGATTCATGTTTGTGATTCTAGCTTCGAAAATTCGATTGAACGCACCCTATATTGATCTGAATAGACAGAAATAGAACATAATAAATGTAGTACAGCTGCAACGACAAGGTCACCTGAATTATAGATAATGGAACCATTCATAAAGTGAAATGAAGTTGACATTTCTATGGCTGTCACATATACATGTTTTCTTAACATTCTAAATGATATCCGTGGTTTGTGACACCACTTTCTGTAGAACACCTGCCATGATTGATTAGGAATGGAGCCATACATTTTAATGAAAAGACCAGTTCACATATATGTCTGCAATTGTATAACTTTAATTCTTTCTTAAAGCCCCACTGCACTACTTGTAGCTACTTGCGCCCTCTATATAGCAAACAATGCCTAATCAGTGCCTGTTCGTCCCCCATGATCCCCTTTTTCTTATGTTAATTGAAAGCTGATTTGATGAGATAACCACCTGCCAGTGACCTTGCAGGGAGGTATTTCCCCCCTGGCCAAACTAGTACAGACGAGCTTTAACATTTATTGTGATTCTTGCCAAAGTTTAATTTGCATAAAGTTGATGTTGCTTTCAAGGTAAACCTCAAGAAAGCTATGTGTTATTAAAGTTAAAGACCAGTTATGGTCATGCGATTGCATTGTGAAAGAAAACGTTGTGGAATCGATCAGAAAAGGTCATCTAGCATAATTGGTGTATAGCCTACTGCAAGGTCATGGAATCATCAAAATGATAAGAAATTTGGCCCAGTCTTGATAAAGTTACAAGCACTGTACACAGAAAGATGTATATGGGACTACCCCCACACATGCGTGATATGTGCGTTATATCTATCAGGTCCAAATAGATATAATAATTTACCAAGTATATCAATTAGTAGGCAGTTTCTTGGCAAAATTTGTATGATAACGTATTGGTCAAAACATATTCTTTCACATTATTGGTAATAAGAGCTTTCATTTAATTTTTGAGAGGGGGGAGTTTCCAAAACTGGTCTCTACCTTTAACACTGACCTTTGATAAGTTATTATAGGATTGAAATGTACACTGAAGATCACAAATGTGAACTGGTCTTTTCCAAGGACACACCTCTAAACTACAAATGCCCTAGCTGGCCATTAACGCCAGTATGCTAATTAATTGTACAAGTCCAACCCTGAATATTAATGAGCATCATCCATCAATGATAGGGCATCGGTGGTAATTGGATGGGAGTATGGTTGCCATGGTAACAGGCTTCTGTATCCATTTGCCATTCTGCATCACTTGCCGATGGTGAATGGGAGTGTGGAAGTGTGGCTTTGACAATAGAATATGCTTCAGTTATTCTCTCGCTGGAAAGAAGTAGTTTTTTTGTGAACTTTGACAATAGGATATGTTTTAGTTATTCTTTTGCTGGAAAGATCTTGTTTTGATGTGAACTTTTGATCAGTGTGGAATAATCTTGTAAGTAATGTGTATGTGAGGAATATATTGTTATGAATGGGTCGCTTCATTTAAAGGTAGAGACGGTGACTTTAGAGAAGACATTTTTAAAGGATTTGAAGTTGGTCGAAAATTACAGAAATTCTTGTAAGCAGTGCACACGTTTGTACGAAAGAAATCATTACTATTTTCACATAAGTTGTCTTCTATTGTTTGATTTATTTCTTATATATTACCTTCTTTTTCATCTCGATTACAAAAATATTCCTTTTAGCTATCTTGATTCAGATATACCATATCCGTAACTGCTTCTAAAGCATCATGAAGACTATCTATTTACATTTGTTTATTATTTTTAATTATTTCTTAGTGATTACAAAGGGAACTTGTATTTTACAAAACAGTCTTCAGTTACACAATTTCTTGTTTTTGTTAAAGATATGTATTTAATCTATCTTCTAGTTTGTATTTAAGTGTATGGTTATTCCTATTAGTGATTTTGTTTTGTTTTGTGTGTGAAATGAACTATGAAATGTAGACTCCTCCACTATGTTTCACCACTGTGCCAATCTTAAATGATTTATTTGAATAATTGTATAATCATTTATTGTATATTTGGTTAAAGGTAAAGACCAGTTATGGTCATGCGATTGCATTATGTAAGAAACGTTGTGGAATCGATCAGAAAAGGTTGATCATCTAGCATCTAGCATCTGCAAGGTTCTGGAATCATCAAAATGATAAGAAATTTGGCCCATTCTTTGTAAAGTTACAAGCACTATACACAGAAAGATGTATATGGGACTACCCTATATCTCTCACAGACCATGAGAGAAACAAATTTACCAAATATATGAATTAGTAGGCGGTTTCCCGGCAAATTTTGTATCATCATGTATTAGTCAAAACATATTCTTTCACATGATTGGTAATGAGAGCTTCCATTTCATTTTTTGAAATTGGGGCGTTTCCAATACTGGTCTTTACCTTTAAAACATTATCTTATAGAATTTGTATACAGTATATTGCATATTCATTTGATTATGTTATATTATGTGGAAAAAATAAAGGAATTTTTAAACTGAACCGACCTGAACTGGAAAAAAAGTGAGAAAAAACCCCCAAAACAAATATTTTCACTGCAATAATCTCCCCTTCAATCTTGTTACCTAACAGAGCAGGCTGAGGGAGGAACTCAGTCTCCACCAGGAGCAGCACAAGAGCTCCGCCTTGAAGGTCGAAGGTCAGGTGACGGAGATGCTGGAGTCCCACGAGAAGCAGGCAGCCGGGTTCAAGGAGCAGATCCGCCAGCACGCCCTGACCATCGTCTCCTTGGAGGAGAAGGCTAAGAAGACACAGAAGGAGCATCAGGCCTCCAGGAAGGAGGCCAAGGAGCTGGAGAAGAAACTTGAAGGTGAGTCCAGGAGGAATTGTTTCACAAAGATCTTAAGTTGAACTTATCTCTAAGTTCCAATTATGAAAAGCTACAAGTTGTTTGTCAACGATCATGAGTAAGAACATGTCTTTTCAAATCTGACTCATTTAAAAACTATTTGTCTTGTTGGCTTCGTGTATTATGTAATAATTTATTTCCAGTGTAACTCTTTGCAGTGTAGATGTTAATTTCAGATAACATCTCAGATTTTGTCTACTTCAAATTTGTATTGCTATTGATATAATGTTGAATCAGCTGTCAGCAACTTGAGATTGATTGAATTCTGTTTACTCAAACTGATGATATGAGGGGGGTGTTTCACAAAGATCCTCAGTTGAACCTATCTTTAAGTTGGATTTAACAATTATGGAAAGCCGTTAGCATCTATGAAAATATTTTCTAAAAGTTATTTTAAAAGGCATCAAATGTTGATTCAAATCATTCATATTTTCTATTATCAAGGAGATTTCATGTTCTTGATGTGGAATTTATGAAAAGTATGAAATACTAGAATTTTTGCTTTTGAATATATTTTATTCTAAGGCTACAAATGGCTCTCCATAATTTTTAAGTCCAATTTAAGAGTTAAGTTCGACTCCCATTAACACGAGTATCCTAGCAACAGTTACCAGTCTTATCTATATACTCTTCCTATCATTGATATTTCTTGTATAATTATCATTATCATATAAGCACTTCCCAGCTTTGTCAAATCCCTTATCTCTAAGTTTTGTTTGTTCAGTCATTAGCCTCCTATACTAAGGTCAGTGATATGATCTATATCTACAGTCTAAAGTGTGAAATATCAAGGAGTAGTTTGAAGCATTTGTTTATTGGTAACCATGCAGTATTTTTTAATTGGAAATGGTAACGGTTTGTTTAAAAGATTTTTATGATGGATGATTTGAAACCTTCAAGACGTACATTGCCTCCCATTGAAGCAACTTTAAAAAAAAATGAATTCACGATTTCTGCAGTTCAAACCAAGCAAGTGGAGGAGGAATTGAAGAGAATCAAGGCTTCTTCCCGGCCAAGCCTGTCATCGTAACTCAACCATCTGCAGAGGTACCGGCCCTTCAACACGCCATCAACCTGATCAAGTAAGACATTGAAAAATGTATAATATGGGTCATTCCATGGGGTTGGGGTAATTTTTGTGACATACCAGAAGTGAGAAACCATGTCTCCTCAACTGTAATAATGTTTGATCGAATTGAATTTAGTATAAAAAGTATGGCCAACTTTGTTAAGAAGTATTCAAGCATCTCGCCAATGACGTTTATCAATATCATGGACCTAAAGTTTATGTTATAGCTGTTATATGAATATGATGTCCATGTAACGCTGGTTAAAAGAGAAATGTGTATTAAGCACATATTTTGAAGAGAAGCAAATGAACTAAGAATGATTTTGGCGCTGCATTACCATATATATTCATTGCATAAAAACCTTCAAGGATGGTGTCATCTTTCATGTGTAGTAGAAGATCTCATACCAACGTTACAAGGACATTGTAATATTTTCTGCCCAAACCTCATGGAATGGCCCATAATTAAATGATATTGACTGGCTTAAAATAATACCTAATATGTTTTATTTTACCTGGGGTAGCCTCATCAGTTGACCTAATCTTTATGTACCTTTTAACCATGTGAAAAAAAGAATTTTCATTTATGTGGTCAATAAAACAAATCAAATTAAATCAAATCAAATTATATGACATAGAGATCTATGTAAAATGGAAATGTTAATATTCTGATCTTTTGCTTGTTTGTAGGAGGGAGAACGGTCAGCTGAAGAAGGAGATGCAGGACCAGCAGGACGTTGTCTTGGGTCTCAGGAGAGACTTGGCTGGAGCCTCGGCCAGACTCTCAGACATGACAGGTAAATCAGCATTTTGAGAGACAACTTGGGTTTAAATCTAGGATAGGAGAAAGTTTCAGCAAACATTTTGATGCAATTAACAGTATTTGAAATTAAAAAAAAAAAAAAACATATATCTCTGAAGAGCCAGAAGCTCTAACCTGTTTTTGTTTCCTTCTTTTTTTCTTGTTTTCTTCATAATTTCTGATGTTTAAAATACTAAGTGTGATTGTTATTAAGCATTATTTACACATATTTATTCTTGTTATTTTAATTTGTATTAGGAATTATTTTTGTTTTTTGTCTTGTGTATATTGTGTTGAATGTTTTGAACGGACTTCCTGAAAAACAGCCTTATGGCCGATTGCAAGTGTTTTAACCATGGTTAAATAAAACAACGACAGCAGTACAGGGTAAATGCCATTCTGACTTGCATTTGATGATATATTGTCTGCTGTGTGCAAAAAAGTTTGCCCATGCATACTAATTCAAATTATGTGCTTTAATGCACTTCTGCTTCTGATTCAATGATATAATGCTTCATGCCTGTGGTATTCATTACAAGAAATTGTATATGTGAAATTAAATATTTTAAAAGAAAAAGAAATCCTGGCTCATGAGTGAGTCTGTGTATATAAAACAAGGAGAAGTTTACATATGTCCAACAATTAATTTCCCTACCTCTGATCACTTTATGTGCATCCAGGAGAGCTGAGTGACCGTCAGAAGGAGGAGATGGAGAACCAGAAGGCTCTCATCAAGGACCAAGAGGCCGAACTGACCACTCAGAGACAGCAGCTGGTCAAGCTGTCCGAGCTGGTGGACAGGAAGGGGATCGAGACGGAGAACATGGTCAAGGAGATTGCGTAAGTTTCAAGATAAGCTTGAGTTCTGGAAACGATAGAAAATAAATTATCACAGAATCCAAAAAAATTCACCCTGAAATGTTCAAGATTACAAATAAATGACATGTGCTAAATGATTTTTGGTAGAAAATGTAGTAATGAGCAATTAACTGAAACCATTGACCTTTTAAGTACAGGACAAAAAAGATGTTATAAGTATCATCAATCTTGTTTTTGAGACAGACATACCTGAACAAAATAAGCAATATATAGTTATCCATGCCTGAACATTTTTATGCATACAGCCATATGTTGTGTTTTTCATCTCCAGTGCACAGAAAGAACTGTTGCTGAGACAAAAGAAGGACACCGCAATCAAGGACTCTGAGCTGAACAGATTGGAGCAGAACCTCAAGCAGGAGCAAGTTCAATCCCAGAAGGCCAAGCAGGAAGTAGAACAGGAGGTAGGAAGCCAATTTAAGTTACTAAGTAAACTAAAGATATTAGTAATTTAATTTTCTGATGTGTATACCATTTTTTTCAAAGAATCCTCTATTGAACTGTTGTACCATCTCTTATTTTGCTGTACTTGAACAGAACCTAATCGGAATGATGTCCCAATGGCTGGTATGAAAGTTATGCTTCTTGCAAAATTTTCACCAAGTTTTGATGTCAGTGAAGTATGACCTTTAGCACAAAATAACTCTTGATTGAGTCATGGTGAGGCATGATGCACCATAGCTAGTGGAGACAGATAGTTGCGACATCCGCATGTGCACTCATTCATAGGTAAAATTCAGGGAGCTATAAGTAGTTCCTGCCGTAGAGATAGTACATGAGAGGAAACTTGGGGGGGGGCCCCTGAATTCACCTTTGATTACCCTCATGTGCGAGTGTTACAGCTGCCTTAGGGGGGTGTTTCACAGAGACTAAGATTGAATTTAAGTTGGACTTAACTATGGCAGGCCATTCCTGCCACTGGTTGCTCTCACCATTATGATCTGTAGAAAATAATTTTCCCTTCAATAATGAATTATCAAAAAATGTAGATTTGTGACCATGATTTGTACGTCCTTTGAGAGACCAATGCCAGTAAATGGTGAGAGCAAACAGTGGCATGAACAGCCTGCCATAGTTAAGTCCAACTTAAAGTCAATCTTAGTCTTTGTGAAACACTCCCTTGGTCTGCTAGCTGGGGATGAATCCTACTCACATACATACAACCCATGTTTATTTAATAAAACAGATTTCATTCCTAATTAAAGTCATGTTTCATCTATCATATTACTTTTTTTTCTTCAAAAGGGTTTGATCACGAGCGAGTTGTCAACCACAGGAGCACAGTGCAGAGGAGAGAGACACGCAGAGGTCATCTCTAGGCAACGAGAAGCTCTCGGAGAGCTGAGAGGCAGAATAAAAGGCATGGAGCAGAACAGACCCCCATGTAAGTGAAGCAAATGTGCTAGGTTGAATATATTGGACCGCTTTACCATTGAAACAAATCAGATATAATTCATCATTCATAGAATCTGATTACCAGGGTAAATATATTTTTGAAGCGTTAAGTGACCTGTGTATCAAGCACTATGTAAATCCAGACTCATATTATATGTCAACCTGTCTATCTTCGTAAGACAGATGGTCTTTGTAGACAGGTTCCTTCGGTACATTTTACACCGAGAAACCATTTTCAAGGGAAACAAAAAATGTGGTCTTTGTAGACAGATGGTCCCTAAAGCAGTTTTGACTGTATATAGGAAAGGCAGTGCATATGAAATTTCCATTGAAACTCACCATATGTAATTCAGTTTCCATAGAATCGGATGACTGCAGAATTTTATTTGTGAAATGTTGGAACTCATTTGTTTCAAGTGCTATGTAAATCTAGATTTTTATTGTTAATATTTACAGTGTAGTTTTCATTAAAGTTTATTTCAGCATTCACAGTTATTAAGATTAAAGTTCATATAGGGTTGCCTTTTTCAGGGATATGTGATACAAACAAGAGGGAATTCAAAAGTAACACTGAAATATAAATGTATACAAAAGAAAAATACAGAACAAGTACAAGCACTGTTGTTACAACAGCAAGAAAACAGAACTGATATTTCAGATTCATGTATGCAGAGATTAAGTATGGTCTTTGGAAGTAGTTATTTACATCATAGAAGTAATGTGAAATTAAGAATTATTGGTATGGGGAGTGGAAAGCTATTTCTTTATGTTAATGTCTGTTCGTATTTAAACAAAATTCATGAAACATACCTGGGCTCCGTTGCATAGAACTTACCATTGATAGTAAATTTACCATCAATGGCAACTACCATGGAAACAGGGCTCAACAGCCAATCAAAATCAGGGTTTCCATTGATGGCAAAGTTACCACCAATGGTAAGTTTTCTGTGACGGGGCCCTGAAAATGAGTAATCCCTTATTTACCATGTTCTCATTTTGATCCGCATTCTCTGCTTCAGTACCCACTCAAGACCAGGCCTTACAGCAGGTCATCCTCCTCAAGAAAGAGCTAGCCGAGATGAGGGCCAAGCAAGCCCAGATCTCGGCCATGTCAGGTCAGTCCTCCTCCCCCGATGTCCTGCTGGAACGTGAGGTCGCCAAGGCCAGAGGTCAAATCTCGACCTCCGTCTCGGACGCAGCCATAGAGAGGAGCGCCAGGGTGGAGATCCAACAATCCATGGATAAGAGCGAAACAGCTGTAAGAAATATTTTGAACATTATTTGTTCTTTGTTTATGTTTTTAACCTGCAATCCAAATTGCCTTTTTGACTACGTACACCCTCTTTCAATATTACTAATCAAAACCTCTTTGAACATCTGTGTAAGAAAGATTGTCTGTTTATTAAGTCAAATTTTATATTTTCACTTTACACAGTTTTTATTTATGTACAATGTTTACAGTGATTTACATTTGTCATTCAAATTTCCAAAGTATTAGTAATAACTCAAAATCTATTAGTAAGATTTCCTTCATTTTTTTAATGATCCTGATACAATTTGTTGGAAGCAACCTCTGTGAAATTCATTTTTTAAAGAGTGGATTTGTAAAGGTGTTTACAGCAGCTTATGATAACAATAAATGAATAATAATAACAGTGGGTTTTTGTATAGCGCCATGTCTGTCAGACTTGACACTCCAGGCGCTCCACATGATTATCATTGAAATCAAATTAAAATTTGGGATAGAACGTGAACTTATGTACACATCCAAATCGATGTACCTTCAGATTTTAATCATCTTTCTTTCTTTGATAACCAGTACATGGAGCTGTCCGGGACGGTCGCCCGACTGCTGGGGCTGGGTGAGATCCCCGGCCAGGAATCGCTGGCCCACTTGCCCCGGACGAGAAGGAGCGCATCATCAAGGAGAGGGGCAGCAGCCACGAACTCATCTTGAGTCGGCTGAAGACGCTCAACCAGCGTCTGGAACGCAAGGACGCCCTCCTGCAGGGCTACGAGAAGGACCTTGAGAAGCTGCGATTGGCCGAGAGGGTAGCCAATGAGAAGGCAGGCCAGGTGGAGAGTTTGGCGGTAAGTTTTGGAGGAAAAAAAAACATTGATTCACTTTTAAAATGTATCTCTTGTCAGTACTTCTTTTAGAAGCAGTAATAATATTTTGGAATACGTGTGGGCTGCTATATCCTCCCCCCTTCCTTTCATTATTTACTCTGGGAAAGGAACAGGAAAATTTATTTTAATTTATGAAATATTGAATAAAATTTACGTGTTTTAATTTTGAACTGACTTGTCATGCTAATTTCAGTTCATCAAAGATATAGGTGTTGGGATTTGGGTTGGGACTGGCCTTCAGATTAGGGTTGTGGTTAACCATATGGTTATTTATAGTTGTTGTCGTTGAACCATGTGTCATTCAGTTTAGACTCTTTATGTTACATGTTGACAGAGTCTCATGATATGAAATCTTTTTTTTAAATATTTCATATCATTGCTAATATATATTTGTTATTGTATGTAACATGGTCTGTAAACAAAAAACAAAAACAAATAATACATGATATGGTATGTATGTATTTAAACTTTTTTCATTTTCCTCTGTATTTATAACATATAATTCGTGCAGGGCCTCTCAGGATAACAGTTTCAATACTGATAGATTACCTTGTTTGAATAAAACAATTAAATGAATAAAATAAAAACGATTACAATCTGATAATAATAATAATAATGATAGTGTAAACTTATAGAGCGCACACACTGTCCAGGGATGCTCATGGTGCTAGTCCAGCAACAGTTCTCTTTAATACAGGTAAAGTAAATGTTTATTTGATAATAGACTAGTTATACCATCATAAACTCAAATACATTCTCATATTCCATGTCGAATGATCCCCCTCATCTGATCAATATTATTTGGTGTCCCATGTCTGCAGGGTGATGTTAGGAGTCGCCAGGAGGAGTCACACTACCTGAGAGAGACCCTGAGGAGAACGAGAGAAGAACTAGATAAGGAGAGGAGACTCAATAGTGCAATCAAGAGTAAAAAGGTGAGCTTCATGTCTTACTATCTATCTATCTTCTCCCGGTTCGGAGGCTGATTGCAACATCTTCTGCCATTCTGGTGCACTCTTGCAGTTTTAGTCCACTCCAGTTCTTGACATTCTCTTCCAAGTTGATTCTGGGTCTCCCTCTTGGTCTAGTTCCTTCCACTCTTCCTTCCAATACATCCTTTAAGAGGCTTTGGTGCCTTCTAACATGGCCAAAGTCTTACTACTCTTCGGAATAGAATAGCTTGAAATGTTTAGTGGGAAAAAAAGAGAATTGTCTTTGATATAGTACTGATTTTACTGGAGATTCATGTAAAGAGGTGTCGTGGTTTAGTGGATAGGTCACCGAACTGTGGATCACAGGGTTCACGGTTCGAGTCCTGCCGAGGCACTATTGTCTTTGGGCAAGACATTAATGTACATTTGCCACTCTCCACCTAGGTAAAGTAAATAGGTATATCCAGTTGGAAGAAATTCCTTGAATGCTTTAGCACGTTATAATGGTGGCTCAGTTACAGCCGCGGTGCTTTGTATTAAGTGCAGTAGATTATGGTAGCTGTACTATTTAAATAGAACTATCATTATTTTTATTATTATTATGTTCAAATTGTATCACATTTCATTGTAAGCATCACAATTGTTATCTTGGTTTCAGCCAGGTTGCCAAGTAAGGCACTCACATTATTCAAGGAATTAATTCTCAACGGGTACCTTTTAGTCTAAACCCGGGTCAAGAAAGGCAACTGCACATGAAATACTCTGTCTCAAGCATAGTTACTCATGGGTTGGGATTTGAACTTTGAAGTTTCGAACCTCGTGGTTCGTCCTATCCGAATTACTTCATCACAATGTCTATACATAATGTAAAATTATTTCATGTTTGCAATATTGGCATTGATTCAGTATGAAAGTCAATGAGTAACATAACATTGTGTTTCCATCGATGACGGAGAAGAAAATGAACATTAAGTAGTAAATTTTCATATCATATGTTTGTAGATTAATTTAAGTTTAAAGAAAGATCTCAAATGTTGAAAAAAAGCGCTCCTTTAAATGGTCGACGTTTTTGTTTTATATATCAAAGCATAATTTTCTTGTGATTTAATTGACTCCCTTGAAGACATTCCATCTTGAAAACGATGAGAAGAACAAGCAAGTGTGGCCCAAACACAAGTGCTATGAAGATGATGCCAAGACGAATAAGGTAAGTAAACAACGCTGAATGAATATACATTGAAACCTATGTATAAAGACCACCCAAGGGAGACAAGAAAAGTGGTCTTTATAGGCAGGTGGTCTTTATGTACAGGTTCCTTTTAAGTACAATGATTTTTCAATGAGAAACCATTTTCAAGGGACACAAAAAAATGTGGTCTTTGTAGACAGGTGGTCACTAAAGCAGGTTTGACTGTATCTCCTCCTTTGGTGCATGTCAACACATACAAGAACAACCCTGTTAGCCCAGTCTGCATCTCTCTCTGTCCCGAGCCTTCATTTTCATTGTCTCATATGTTTTGTCACCTATCAACTTAAAGGTAAAGACCAGTATTGGAAACGCCCCAATTTCAAAAAATGAAATGGAAGCTCTTATTACCAATCATGTGAAAGAATATGTTTTGACTAATACATGATGATAAAAAATTTGCCGGGAAACCGCCTACTAATTCATATATTTGATAAATTTGTTTCTCTCATGGTCTGTGAGAGATATAGGGTAGTCCCATATACATCTTTCTGTGTATAGTGCTTGTAACTTTACGAAGAATGGGCCAAATTTCTTATCATTTTGATGATTCCAGAACCTTGCAGATGCTAGATGCTAGATGATCAACCTTTTCTGATCGATTCCACAACGTTTCTTTCACAATGCAATCGCATGACCATAACTGGTCTTTACCTTTAAGACACCATCCAAATTGTAGTCTCTCTTTTCCTCTTTTGCTATCCCTCTTCCTTCCAGTAATGTGTTCAAGTATTCTCATGCCAGGGCCCTGTTTCATTTGTTATCAATAACAAGTTCTAATTATAAGCTACTGAAATCCATGCATTTGATGGACTGTGAGCAGATTTTTGATAGATCTGTGGCAGTTGTTATTGAAAACAAGTTTTTTAAGAAACAGGGGCCCGTTCCTAGAAACCGTTATAAGTCTAACTTCTTGACTATCCCATTGAAACGCGTGTTAATTCTATAACACATGTTTCAATGCGATAGTCAAGAAGTTAGACTTGTGACGGTTTCTAGGAACGGGCCCCAGGGCCCAGTGATGTTGCAACACTATCCTTAATAATTATTAAAAATATAAAATGATGAAATTCATAATTTCCTCATTGCAATCATAACTCACAAAAATGAAACATAAGAAGGTACTTGATACTCCTTAAATGAGAATCTTAACATTATTTTGATGGGTAAAAACTAAAAATAGATTCTAATGGAGTACTTCCTCATGAAAAGGCCTATCATATTACTGTTGGCAGTATTGTTTAGTGTACAGCATGCTTGATATCAAAACAAATATAAATCTTTTGGAGACATGGAATAATGATGTTTAAAGCTAATCATCTTTATGTGTTTTAGCTGTAAACATCTCTCAGAAGACAATAGATTTTAATATAGAAAAGTTCTTTTTATGTCTCTTTACTTTTCCTTTTGTATTAATAAATCAACCAGAATGAAAAGGAAATCAAAACCTTGTGTTATAACTCCTCAAATTAGTTGTTGTAAAACATTACTGTAGTTTAAATGGCGTCTATCTGGTGTAATTCTCCATCTTTATTTTTCATTTTACATTATTCGTTTGATATTTGCATTTTCTTTTGTATCAATGTTTTATTTATTAATTTTTGTTTCACTTACTGTGTTTGATAAGAAGAGGTAGCCAGCCTTAATTTGTTCTCTTTATTGATTTAAAGCCCCACTACTTATTGCTACTTGTGCCCTCTATATAGCAAACAATGCCTAAGCGGTATCTGTTGTTCCCCCATGATCCCCCTTTTTCTTATGTTAATTGAGAACTGATCTGATGGGATAACCTCCTGTCAGTGACTGTGCAGGGAGGTCTAATCCCTCCTGGCCAAACTAGTGGAGACATAAATATATGTATATATATATCAATATGAATAATGTTATATGAAATCCATGTCTGTCTTTTTGTCCACAAAACAGAAGGAGGGCAAGAAGAAGCTGCAACAGGAGAAGTTTATACGCAAGGAATACGAGATAGAAACACTGAAAGCGGTAAGAATTCACTGATTAATTTGTACAATTTAAGTTTAAGTTTTAATGCTGTTCTTTCATTTTGGAAATAGAACTGCATAATATTAATAATAATGATAATCTGAATTTGTAAAGCATTTGATTCAAAATACCGTCTCTAAGCACTTTACAGATATTATTACCCCGGTGATCAGATTCGTTCACGCACAATGTGCACCATCTCCACTCCCTGGGAGGTACTCCTACCATATGGTATTGATGTTTTTTAGACAATTATTTCAAAAATGAAGAAAACAAAAAGAAAGGAGAGCACAATCAACATTTAAATAATTTAACTTCTATTATCTATTATCTGTTTCACATACTTTAGTTTTTGTTTTGAATTCAAGAAAAGGCAAAGTAGGCTGTTGTGATATTCAGCTCATCAAGTATGACATTGTAATAGTTGAGTGTTTATAGTTTCTATATGTGTGAATGAAAATCCCTTCCTAGACATGGGAACCTCTTATCATGTTTTTGGTTTTGGTTTTATCCTTTCACAGGAACTAGAAGCCAAGGATCAAAAGCTATGTGAGACCACAGCTAGACTCATCAACATGGAAAATGCTGTAAGTTAATCCTGATAGAGAGGATCTATACACTTCCACACCTCCTTTTTGGTAGCAACTTTCTGGATTCCCGATTAACATTACAGGCCTATGTTTTCTATGCAAATCAGATTTTCATCTACTTTTTTGAAAAATCATTAGGAAACTAGTGTTACACATGGGTATACCACCATTTTAATACCAATCCTGTCTTTAAAGGGGAAGTCCACCCTGATATTAACTTGGTTTTAATAAAAGCAGAAAATGAGAGAAACAAATAAGTGAAAGTTTGAGCAATATCCGATTAAAAAATAGGAAAGTGTAATGAATTTTTGAAATTTTCATCAGTGTAACACAAGTTGGCAACACCATGATGTATCTTGCAAGCTCCTTTCCAATTTGGTTCTGCACAGAAAATTTCACAAACACTTACATTTTGGTAGTTATTGATGATGGAATAGATTTGTTTCATACAGGGATCGTATATTTACAGTAATTATATTGAGGGTGAATGTATGGTTGAAAATTTTCTTATGTGAAAATACAAATTTTGAACTTTTTTAGTAGGGATAGAGGGAACATTATACAAACTTGCTCCACCCCTAAAATGTGTGTGTGTGTGTGTGTGTGGGGGGGGGGGGGGGGGTGTATATTATCACATACTTGGGGTCATATGGTTGATAACCATATCTGAGGACTCTTTATATGTATTTGTGTGTATTATATTCAGATTCATAAAAAATCCCATAATAGCAATTTCTCATTCTAGTTAATTTTCTTCTCTTTTCTTCCTCTGTTCTTACAGGCTATGTCATGATTCCTTTGCTCCAAAACATCTACGTCTGGTTAGCTATCCTCCAGGTCAACGTCCCTTCCACCTTTCTTTCACATGGGAACAGAGTAATCGCATCAAAAAGGTCAAAGGTCAAAGTTCAGATATCACCAAAGGGAAGAAAGGATGTGTCATCCTGCGTATGATGTTACATTAATGATGATAGTAATGATAAATCTGGATTTATATAGTGTTTAGTACCGAAGAGCGTCTCTAAGCGCTTTAAAGATAATATTATTACCCCAATCTTAATAGAATGTGTTTAAAAACAAGAAAGCAAAAGAGATTTGTTAAATGCCAGATGGCAGCGTACTCAATTTTGTATTCATTTAAGAGCGTGTACTGCTAGTTTGTAAATCACTACATCACCTTGATCTAGATGTAAATGAAATGTAAAAGTTGAGCAACATTTGACTTTGACTTGTACTATTTAATAATAGATGTGTAGTTCATATTCATTATTCTTGTCCTGAATCAGGCCATGATTTCTTTTCTTCTCAAATTTAGCCTAAAGGTAATTTTGCAGTTCTTGTATTAAAAATGAATGTCTTTTATATTCTAACGATGGAAACTGCTAAATGAAGCCGTCTTGAATAAAAATGTAAAACTGAAGGTATGGACAAAACGCAATTGGGAAGGTAGTAAAAGATATAAGGAATAATTCAAAACACTTGAAAATCAAGTCTTGAAATATCTCGATAGTACATACCAAACTAGGAGAGCCCATAGCATTTAAGTCTTAAGAATAATCTATTTTGTTGCTTAAATTTAGCAACAAAAGTAAAAGAAATAAGAAATAATTTAAAACACTTGAAAATGAAGATTTGAAATATTTTGATAGTACATACCAAACTAGGAGGGCACAAGGCATTTGAGAATGATCGATTTTATTGCTAAAATTCAATTAATTGTAAAAATAAGTTTAGGATGTAATGCATACTCATTTAAGATATTGTACAGTTAATGCGGAAGCATCTATTTTCGGGCATTATCTAAATAGCATACAAGGTCTTGGTAGCTGTGTGATGTGTCAGTTGTTTCAAAATTTCTTCACAGTTTGTCTCAATTGTAATGAAACAGGTATAGTTTTGAATTTTGTTCTGATGAATTACAATGATTGATTTGAAAGTTGTAGAATACTAAATGTTTTTGCCTTTTTAAAGAGATTTATTTCCAATCTTGAAATCAAAATGACTAATCTCGTGGTCGGATTTTTCGTGTCAGCAGAAATGTTAATATTGGTTAATATCTTTGAATACATGTTCAATGTTGGAAAAGGGTAGCGTTTACATTTTTAGGTATATCCTAGTTCATTCTAGGCTATTGGAAGTGTTTAATAGAAGGTGTCTAAATGGAACTGAGGCTTTGTGTGAAATCTGAATCACATTTTGTATATGACTGTAAAAGTATAAGGATGGGGTTGGATTGTCACAAATGGTTTTGAGTTTTGTAACACGCCTGAGGTTGAATGTATGATCATGTCTGAGCAGAATTAAAAGGAATGACTCTTCTCTGGTGGTGCATGGTTGCTATTTTACCTGACTGCTGAGAAAGCATAAATGCTTGAAAGTAAGCAACCAGACGGTCGACGGCTTTAGGTCCTCTCTGAGGGACCTGGTAATGAGGATTAATGCCTTACCAAAGGGCACTAGCGCATCGCCTTGGTTTTCGAACCCGGGTCACCGGATTACGAGACCACTGCTCTACCGACTGAGCTATCGCGCATCCTTATCTGCAAGATATGAATTTTAATTCATGAGAACCGTAATGAAATTATTGACCTCATAGACATGTACCTGCTCTATTCATACGAGACATACAAATCTCTTCCTACCGCTTTACGGCATGCGCTTTCATAGCGATCTGTAAAGCCCTAAAATCAAGCAATATTTGCAGTGAAGCTAGCATTAAATACTTGGCAAAATACACACAAGACATTATTTCATTTATTCGTAAATTGCCGGTTTTTAGAGTTGTTAATTTTTACGTAATTAATCATGTACATTGTGTTCAATTACTGTTGATACTTTGCTTGAAATGACTTGATAAGATCAAATGAAATATTTCTGTATTCTGTATTTTTAATGATACCTGTACATATGTAACTCAAACTATGGTATGCCAATATCGTGTATTATGAAAAGATTAATAAGTTAGATATGATTTCATATTGGTTTGGTCTATCATAACTCTGTTTCACCATCAACCACACTTTGCTGTTTTTCAAAAAAAAATTGAGCCCGCAACATCAAAAAGCAATACTCACACAGAAGATTTAGTGATATTCTTTCAAGTTTTCCTGAGTATATTATAATATCTTCTGCATGAATAGAAAAAGACTATAAAGAATTTTCCTAAAAACTCTTTTTTTAAAAGAATCTCCCTTTAGTATAGCACGTTTAGATACCACTGAGACTTAATTCTTTTTTTATGTTTTGCACCTTTTATTAAAATGACTGCAAGTAGAATTTATTAAAATAGTAACAATAATTGCCAAAAATGATTTTTGAATATTTTTTTAAAAAGAAGCAGTTAGTATTCAAAGAATAAAATAAATTGTGTCCCAAAATGTTCAAATGTATAAAGAAAAATGTAAATATATTAAATACATATATTGATGAAACAGTAGTATTGTATCTCATTATGTTGAATAAATTGTTAAATAATTCTAAAAAAGTGTTAGATTTAAAATTGTAGATAGTTGGTATATATCGTACATTGCATTGTCTCGAGTGTAGTGTAATTTTTGTTGATGTAAATGTATATTTTTCAGCAAATGAAAGATCATGTCTCGTGAGTGAATATATTGTATATTGGTACATTCTTGCAAAATTATGATGTGAAACATATTATATTAAAATCAGAATGAGATTGTATCCACTATGTTTATATCTCTTTACTGTCTTTGGTGTTACTTTACATTTCGCTTATTTTAGACATTTTAGTATCAAGAATATATATATAGCCACTATAACTCATTGCATTTATAAATTCACACAAGTTCTGCATTGCTTTTTATGGTGACATTGTGAACAAAATCCTGGACTTGATTCAAACTTCAACGTTTCACAAAACCACTCGCCGACAACCCATTGTAATGCATGTATTATAAAGTTTAACACGTACACAAAGGTATTACGATGAGATGTACGTATGATGGTTTCATTTAACGATGCCCAGAATTACAATCTATTGTAAGTAACGTTTTTATTTTTATTATTATTATTATTATGGACATCTTAAACATCCCAATGTCCCTTCTTGTTTTGCATTTTTTCATAAATTTGTGTTTGGGGGAAATAGTGCAGAATGGGCCCTCTAATATTAGAATATGACAATTAGTTTCACAATTTGCTTTCAAAAAGAGGAAAGAAAAGAGAAAAAAAAGGGGACTGGCAATCCTAGAAAAGAAGGCATATACTATTCATTGAGTTGCAATGGTGATGTCAACAATGTGGTGATGCGTGCAGAAAGGTGTCATATCTGATAATTGTGTTATAATTTCAGCGATGAAAGATTTGTGGTCTGATTCTCGCATCCATATCTCCCTCTGTACCGGTAATCTTATTACATTAAATACTTAGTCTTTGATGACAGACATTAATCGAGCAACTATTTCTTTAATTTTCAGCCTTTTTAGAAATAGAGCAATATGAATATAGTACCTTGCTATATAATTTAAAAAGAAATTGATACAACATTAGTGGAATAGACGTGCCAGAGCTGGTTCACTTAAGTCAGACTCTTAAAAAAGCCACTTGTTATTAAACTAGTTTTTGTATCGTCGCATTTGTATGGTGGCCCTGAAGGGACATCGCGAATAGACTAAATCGCGAAAAATTGGCGATAAAATTCACGATATTGTAAATTTTATCGCCAATTTTTCACGACGAAATTCACGAAATTCACGATATCGTAAACTTTATCGTGAAAAGTTCACGATAAAATTGACGATATCGTATATTTTATCGTGAAAAGTTCACAATAAAGTTCACGATAAAATTGACGATTTCGTATATTTTATCGTGAATTATTTTCTCCTGGCCTGGGCGGTTCGTAAACAAAACCAGCCCTAGCTAGCTTGATTGAAGACGATTATTATGACGAGACGTTTTTACGATGATTTCTGTGAAAATGGTAGGTTTAACTTCATATTATGCTCTATTTGTATTTTATCTTTGACAAGATAGGGATAAAAGTAATTGCACAGCGGAAAAATTACCCGGTATGCAATTAATGGTCTAGATGCACTCAATCAATGGCAATGCATTTTCCCATACATTCATTTCCATGTTGTAATATCTATTGAGTAATGTAATTGTCTAGGCCTACTTTTATTAGCAGGCCTACGTACTAGCACACTCAATTTCTCAAACTGAGTCAACAAAGACTGACAGAGTTGATGTAGAACTAATACTAATAAGTAATAGGTAGCAGCGGCTAGCAGAATATTAGTAGCATTCTAGTGCACTAGCTGCATGCAGCTGCAGACCTAGGCCTAGATATCTAGGCTAGAATAATGCATGATTGTATGAATTGTATTGAAGATGATTTAGTCGTAGGCTCTATGGCTCCAGTGATTATTGCATTGGCAGACATTTTATTTTTAATATTTTTTTAAATGCTTGCACAACATGAATTACTAATTAAGCAAGGGCCTAGCCTAGGTCACTCGAGTAGACAATGCTAATGCGTATTGACCTCGTACCTCTAGATTTCTACAGCGCTGCATACGTGCTGAGAGGGCAATCGATTGCACACAATTACACACTCGTGAACACAATGAGTACGAAGTGACTGATATGATCGGCAAGTTTGAAGTAGACTCGTGATTTGAATTTTCATAGAGGTAATACAAAAAAGTACACTAATGCTGCTATAGATAGAAATGGTTTTTATTAAAAGATCATCGCAGCCAATGGCTGAATTGCGATCCATTTCACAAGGTTATATACAATACAATTGCAATTCAAATTGAAATAACACAACATATGACATAAATCAATAATCAAACATATAGACATTTCATAAACATTCATTGATCAGATTCAAATTTTTGTTAAAAAAAGAAAGAGATAGGGAGAGGTGTAGGAGAGGGAGAGTTGGAGTGATGACAAAGAGAGAGAAGGAGAGAAAGAAAGAGAAAGGGGACGGGAGAGAAAGACGGAAAGAGAGAGAGGGTTGAAGAGAGGAAGAGACAGACAAAGGGTACCTTATCATTACAGATGAGGGGAGATGGCAAGAAATATTCAGTATTGCAGAAAATTGAGATAAAAACTATCAAAATTCATTCACATATTTCAATCATGGACTGTGAAATTCTAAAAATATTAATATTACATTTTATTCAAAAGATTTATAAAGTAAGGAAGTGAGCTGCACTGGAAGCGTTTTGTTTTACATTGGTATTGTTTAAACTTTGATTGAGATCTTAGAGAATAAGTGCTTTGTTGTCTAAGAGGTAAACATTCTTTAAATTGTGGGTGTTTGATAAGTGCATTTGCAAAGTCTATACATAACTGCTTACGTCTTGCTTCTAATGAACATAGATTGCACGTTTCCAATGCTGCTTCATAATTTTCATACTGACGTCCTAAAATGATTTTGCAAGCTCTTTTCTGAATACGTTCTAAAATATATACATGAGTTTTTGTTAAATTACCATTAAAAACCGGTACCCCATAATCTAAAATCGAACGAATGTATCCTTTATATATTAGTAAAAGGTCATCTACAGGCAATCCATACTTCTTAAGGCAACGAAACATAAATAACTTCCTATTACACCTTTTTGTGAGATCGGATACATGACTATCCCACTTTAGGTTTGATTGTAAAATAATTCCGAGGACTTTGGCTTGATGAACATAAATTAATTCTTTGTCGCCAATGAACATTGAAGTTTGTTCATCACAATTTTTCATAAATGTTATAACCATAGAGAAACACTTGGACGGATTCAATGTCATATTATTTTTAGCTGACCATTGGTATAGATCAGTGATTGCATTTTGTAGTTTAGACTGAGATGTTACTTTTCGGCTTTCTACAATCGTTAAGTCGTCAACATATTTATAAATTGGTAAGTTAACATCATTACAGGCATCATTGATCATTACAATAAATAGAATCGGACCAAGTTTGGTACCTTGCGGAACACCAGCATTGATTGTTTTCAAATTAGATAACTG